GAGAGAGAGAGAGAGAGAGAGAGAGAGAGAGAGAGAGAGAGAGAGAGAGAGAGAGAGGGAGAGAGATAGTGGAACGAGACAACGCAACAGCAAAATGGGGAAAATATATGACGGACGGGCAACAAGTTACAACTAACGCGTAAATACACCCAACACTTCATATGACCTGATGAGTCCAATCTCACGATCTATTCAGAAACAGAAGAATCATTGCAACCCACCAGAGACACAATATGACAACACAATAATGAAGAAACAACCGAGCAACGACGAACGCCGAAAGCTGCGCGCGCGCTGCGAATAGAACACGATGCAACACGCCACGAACAGCCGCAAGAAGCGGCCACCAGGTGGCGCTGACGCGGCGGCCGGCTCCACGCCACCTGGCGGCCGGGCGAGAGACAATGTGGTGCACGCCCCGAGAGAAGGAACGTACGCACGCAAGAGGAGAGATAGAGATACGAGATTTCTTGCCGAGGGTTGGAAGGCAAGGTTTATGATCACTAATCGACTATTTCCCTCCCTTAAAGACATACTAGGCCCATTGATTAGGCAATGTTGACGAATGCTAGAGTAACTGGCACCTTGTGTAGTTAATAAGTACATAACCTTATAGCTAAACGCGTATTAGTTTGTCTAATATTAATGCTGGTTACATTACAAACTAGACAGAGGGCACTGACGGAGAGTGTATACCTCCGCCAGCGACATACGCCATACGACTCACGAACACACGAATAAGCCACGATATACGCCAGCGTACTGACATGTACACGCTGGCTTGCTGCTCGCTCGCTCGTAGCAGCCGCTCGTTGCTGCTGCTCGCTCACATGTACACGCTTGCTGGCTTGCTGCCCACTCGCTCGTAGCAGCCGCTCGTTGCTGCTGCTCGCTCACATGTACATGCTCGCTGGCTTGCTGACTCGCTGGCTCGCATGCTAATATCGATTGCGCGAACACACGAACACACGAACGCACGAGAGCGATCACATAACCTCCTCCAACTCCGTTGGGCGGAAGTAATAAGACTTGAAATCGGTTGTTGATATGTATCAACGTATCATTTACGTGCCGTAAATGTCATCCAGGAGTCAAGCGATGACGTAAACATTTGTGCGGCCCGTATGTTTTGGACGCCAGATGAAGAGCGCGTTCGATTTGCTTCCCCAGAGCCACCTGGGTTAACATGGGTAAGAAATCGAACGCATCTGGGTTAAGGAAGATAAACGAACGGTTTTTGGGTTAACCCAGGTTAAATATCATGGATGCCAGTGACAAGAAAAAACGAATAGCACTTGCAATCCTATTATTCACGAAATCGAAGAATGAGATCACACACGCATTCATCGACAGTCACGATGCTTCATTACTGCTTGAAGAGAGCCATACGCATAGCAGACGAGACAAGGTTCCTCGGATTGAAAATGATGTTGAGGTCACCGTTCAGAGATATTCACCCTCTGACTTTAAATCCCATTTCCGGCTGGAGAGGGAAACATTCAACATGTTTGTTACCGAGTTAAGCCAGCATGAAGAGATGCAGTCGACTGGACATGGCCGACCGACCACCAATTCCATTTGAAAAGCAGGCTCTCTTGTTCCTGTGGTACTTGGGTCGGCCTAAATATTTGATAATAAATGGCATTCAGGTTGAAAAACTTAAATACCCTAAGGCTAAACAACAGTTTAAAGCAACTTACTCGCGAAAAAAGTGCATTGTTTCATTTGTACAAAAACTAGTATAAATTAAGTTCTTCTGAAGCAATTTATTCAGTTGCCTAGATTGCAGGAAATTGCATTATTTCACGTAATTTCTTTGGACCTTTTTAGTGTGGCTTCACCCCACGATGGGGGTACAGGGGGTCTTCCGCCTCTCCCATCCTCCCACCTCCCTCCCCCAATCCTCCCACCTCCCTCCCCCACTCCCCCACCTCCCTACCCCTATCTTCCCACCTCCCCCTCCCTACCGTGTATGTACACACCATGTATGTCTCCCACCCCCATGTATGTCTCCCACCGCCATGTATACCGTAACACTGCCCATCCACTGTCGCTCATATGTCCCCTACATCCACACGACCTGCCCCCATCGACATTTCTTTTTTAAGGCCCTGACATGTATTTCCTGACTCGTCCTTTTGATTATAATTTTAGGTACACCAGAATCCTTTCGTTCCATGTCTGACCGATTCAATGTTTCCAAGCACATTCGACAGCACATTCCATTTGCAAGCGCATTGTGAAAGCTATGAAAAATAACATGTTGAGGCGGTTCATCAACTGGCCTGGTACAAGAGAGAGCGAGATCATATAGCAGCTGGATTTGAAGAATATTGTAGATTTCCAGGTGTAATTGGATGTGTCGATGGCTGTCATATAAAGATCAAGGCACCGCGAGTTAATCATGCATCCTATATTAACAGAAAAAATATCATTCTGTTATTACACACGTTAGCATTTACACGCGTATATGCCGGATGGCCAGGTTGTACACACGATGCTAGAGTGCTTAGAAATTCAGATATATATAGACAGTCAGATAAGTTCTTCGGACATGACGACTTCCTTCTGGGAGACTCTGCATATCCCCTAGAGCCATGGCTGATGACTCCATTCAAGGATTATGGTAACATGACAAATTCACAAAAGGTCTACAATCGCAGACTTAGTTCAGCAAGAGTTGCTATTGAGCGTGCATTTGAACAGTAGAAGGGAAGATTTCGCCGGTTGCGTGACTTTGATGTGTCCGACCCTGAACTGATGATCGATAGCATAATTTGTGCGTGCATCCTGCATAACATATGCGTACACATGAATGACAACCCTTTCGATGAAATACCCAGTGAGGATGCTAACCAGGATCTGGAGAGACCATATAATCATAGACCAGCCGGTGTAGAGCGGAGACAAAATCTTGTGAGGCTTTGTGAAAATTGAGTTATTCTCAGGCAAAAGAATGTAGGCAACCATTTTGACACCCAATGAACTCATGTGTTTGAATGTGTTTTCTGTTTAATAACGCAAAATAAAATAACAGTACAATTGCAGCTGCAATCATTGCTCTATCTAAATATACAGATAAATAATATATGAATATACAATAAACAGAAAAATTCAGCCAGCTAGGCTGAAGATATTTTTAGATCAATGGTTTAAATTTTAGAAATGAAAACTCATAAAGACAGCAGCTCAAGAAACAACACTATATACTTCCATATGCTTCTCTAACCGAGCCATTGAATAAATTTAGGCCCTACAGATTAAAGCTTGTATGCAATAAAACAAAATAAAATAAAATTACAATTGCAGTTGCAATTATTGCTCCATCGAAATATACAGATAAATAATATATGACTATTCAATAAACAGAGATATTCATTCAGCTAGGCTGAAAACATTTTTAGATCACTGTATTGAGAATTAAAAAAAATAAAAACTCACAAACACAACAGCTCAAGAAACAACACCATATACTTCCATATGCTTCTCTAACCGAGCCATTGAATGAATTTAGAGATTAAAGCTTGTATGCAATAAAACAAAATAAAATAAAATTACAATTGCAATTATTGCTCCATCGAAATATACAGATAAATAATATATGAATATTCAATAAACAGAGAAATACATTCAGCTAGGCTGAAAACATTTTTAGATCACTGTATTGAGAATTTAAAAAATGAAAACTCACAAACAAAACAGCTCAAGAAACAACACTATATACTTCGATATGCTTCTCTAACCGAGCCATTGAATGAATTTAGAGATTAAAGTTTATCTGCAATTTTATTCATAACTGCCACCATTTCATTGTGCATTTTGGCTAGCTGCGCAAGAACCTTATCATCATGCGCTTGCATATATGCGACGATGTTTGAACTAGCAGAAGCTTTTCTTTTCTTAGTTTTTTTAATATTATCATTTGACGCCGATTTGCGTTTTCGGCCTTGTGTAACACAGAGTTAATAGTAAACGAGTAATAAGAAGAATAAAGTGAATGAGAAACGTGAATAAACTAAGATAGTCGACTTGACCCGCGCCGTAGGCAACTCGGCTCACAGCGCGTAATTGGTTAGGCCATAAAAGGGGCGTGGGCTCGACCCACACCAACGGCCACTGGGAACGCGTGTTTAGCGGACACGCGTGAACAGAGATTAGGAACGAGTAACCAGCCAATAGCGGCGCGGGGCGGGCGAGCATGATTGACCGTCACGGCAGCAACGAATAGGCAAGATGGGAGCTAAGACAATAGGTGTAGCGTCACTATAAAAGGCGATGTTGTGAAATAAGAAAGACCCCTCTCTCGCGCAGTTTGCATCTCAGACGACACGTATCTATACCGTTTGTCCGTATCTATTTGGGGTTGTAAGCGGTAAGGTGTACGGTTTTTTAATACTTTGGGGTTTTTGTGTGTATGGGGAAAGGAATGTTCAATTTTGGTAAGGGAGGGGATAAAGGAAAACAAAATTTAAAAATTACGAAAATTAAAAACATAAAAATAAAATAAAATAATAAATAAAATAAAAAACGTATTTTAGTCGACGCTCAATACAGTTACGGAAAGTTGTCCACCGTATTACTACGGCTCCAACTTGTCATATGGGGGAGTAACACGACCTGCCGCCACGACGGAGAGGACAGCGACGAGGACA